TGGAGTCAAGCGGATGCTCGTTCAAGGCAGAGAATGACTGCATCAGAGTAACCAAAGACCCTCGTGTTGTCATACAAGGAGTCAGGAAAAAAGAGGTTGTACTATCTTATCGGAAGAACCGTGATTGCTAAGTCCATGTATTGTTTAGACTTAGCAGACTCAAGCAAGGGCTGAGGGCCCCTTAGGGGCCAGGTGGAGGGAATCTTTACTTCGAAGCTTCTCAATTGAGGGTTAAGGTGAAGAATTGTTATTTTGACCCCCAATTAATGAACTAATGTAAAAGGGCACTTTTGTAATGTGGTACCGCTCACCTACCACATCTCACCAACCGCTCACCTACCATTTACCTACCGCTCACCTACCACTCACCTACCGCTCACCTACCACTCTCTTCCTTCTATAAATAGAGAGGGTGTGAGGCTTAGGAGAGCAAGGGAAGAGATCTTAAGGGTGTGAGGCTTAGGAGAGAAAATGGAAGAGATCTTAAGTTACCACAAAACAAGAGAGAATAGCTAGAGAGCTAGAGAGGATGAGAGCATCTTGAGGCCTTGCATTAAGGTGTCGCTTGAGAGGGAGGTCATAGAAGGAAGATGAGGGCCCATCTCTATGTATAAGCTATGTATTCTCCATTTCTTTTGCCTTAGTGAACTATTTGATTGATTCCCTTCCGTGGACGTAGATCCAGTTGGATTGAACCACGTAAACGATCTGTGTTTGCTTGTGTTCTTTGCGTCTCATTTCTATGCCAGGAAGTACATATCTCACAACACTAAATTTGGCATGTTTATTGTCGAATCGAGTGTCTAGCGAGAAAATCCAACAAGCTTAAAATCACTCAACATGAGGTTATTAAGACATCCAAATCCTCAAAATCAAACGTAAGTAAAGGGTATTAGCATGGACCATCTGGTCAGATATGGTTAGGGAAGTTATGCGATAAAAGAATAAAATCCCCATCCAAAAACTTATAAATGGACTCCCTCTCTTCAAATGGTGAGGAGGGAAAGAAGAGAAGAAGAGGTAAAATTTTTTGGACTATTTTTGAGAGAAGACCAGGCTGACAAGTAACCACCAATCTCTATAGCTGCCAATCAGTGTCGATCACTAGTCTCCAAAGTCGTTGACCAGCATCGACAATCACACGTTGTCACCACCTGTTGTTATTGACTAACGGTCATTGATGATCATTACTTGCAACCATTGTAGCTAGAGTACAACTATAATTGAATTTCTTAATCCTTCTCTAGTGTAGTTTAACCCCATTCTTTCTGTTGTGAGGGAAGAGCATACACTTATACTTATACACATAGTAGATTACTTTGATTATTCTAGATCTTATTATTTTTTCTCATTTTTCGGGTTTTTTACGAAAAAAAATTGGTATATGCACATGCCTCTTTTCTTTTAACTGTGTGCATGTTTGATATTCGTGCAATGTTAAAATGTTAAATTATTGTTCGTTTGCAACCAATTTTCTAACACTCAACAAGTTCAATTTTTTTAATACTTCTTTAACTCATGAAATTCCACGTTGATTGAACAGTCAAATTAAAATTAATTACTTAAAATTTTGTTTAGAAAAACATTACTGAATGAAAGTGGGATTTGAAATTTGTGAAAAAAAATCATACTTCAGTTTATTGTTCTGCAAAAAAGCTTCTTTCTATCTAAGAGCAATGCAAATTCAGCATGCTATTACGAACGTGGTGATTTCCGATCAACCGCTCCAGCTAAACCATTTAGTCACATGCGTAATCTCCACCTATCCAAGCCTTCCGGCTACACATGAGCTAGAGAGCTTTGCTGGCGCACTATAGAGAAGCACAAATCAATATTTCTCAAAACCCAACACTTGCTCAACATTTTAATAATCAATAAAAAAGTCCATGTACCGTATGTTATTCTTAACAACTTGCAGAACCATTACGAAAATATATAATTTTTTTTATCTCTATCTCCTCCCAACCGCTATAGCTTTATATTATTTCTATCATTAACCTTAATTATTCAATTAACAAACCCACAGTTCTTCCTGATTTCACCTTGCTCATTTGTGAGAACCTCAAGCCTTCCCATGTTGAGCATAGAAATACCAAAATCTTTGAAGAACTCAGCGGGGCTTGCCATTGCCTGGCGCTCGACATATGTCCTCGTCTCTCTGTCGTGCAACAGAGCTTCGTCGGAAAGAAACAGAGACCTGCCCTTCAAAACTTGCTTAAAGTAGCCGACATCAAATGTCTTGAAACTCCCAGGGTCCATTTCCACTAGAGTATTTTGATCGTTGGGCTTGCATTTGCTCTTCAGCTTCTGCGCATACGTCTTATCCAGCGTCAGATCTGTGTCGCTCTGACCTGTCGCGTTGTAGAGTCGGCTTGAGAATGATGAGCAATGAGAAGTTCCAATAGTGTGAGCTCCTACATGGGTAGGAAAATATAAGTTAATTTTTAGGTGAAGAAAGATGCACAAGCTTGAATCTTTATATCGATGCAAACCTGATAGAACAACAAGATCCTTAATAGAAAGGCCTTTTTGAAGGAAGACGTTCTTGAGAGCGGTTATGTTGGAAGTTGATGGCAGGAGGTTGCCGATCACGTCTTGGGCATCAGATCTTGTACCATCTCTTCTGCCAGTTTCTACCGGATAGAACGGTCCATGGGTCTGAAATAAATTTTAATTATAATTAATGCTATTTTCCCGATATCATAAAAATCAAACTTTTAGTCATTGCAATGTCAAAGCTTGGCGAATAAAGGCAAGCAGTAAATTGGGCAAAAAATAAACATTCCTTATTAGCATTTGTCAAATATAGGGCTTTGATTTAGACCAGGGTGAAATGGATAATAATTTTTTTTTTTTTTACTTTTTATTTTTTATTTTTGAGCGAGAGCATCGGATTCAGCGTTTTAGAATTTATGAATTTTTTTTTTTTTCAACTAATAAATTCCTGATGATAACATATTTTTTTTATTTATTTTATACGAGAGCATCGGATTCAGCGTTTTAGAATTTATGAAATTTTTTATTTTTTTTTTCAACTAATAAATTCCTGACGATAACATATTTTTTTTTTATTTATTTTATTAGTGGATTGAGAATTTATTATTATTAATACATATTTTATAAACTCCAACAACAAGGGGTACACACATTAAATCTTCTCTAAACTTAATTAAAAGTCTGATTCCAACAAACACACATTGTTTATTTTTCCATGTACAAAATTTGTTTATAGATTGGGCTTCTTCAATTTTAATAAGGATTTAAGATCATAGAAAGCAAAACAATAGGGATGACCAAATTTAACATTAAATAGTCACCCGAGCAATATTTTTCATTCACAGGCATTTTCAAAAATTGACACCATTGAACTTGAGCATCCGACTATTAGGAATAAGAAAAAATGAAATCTATTTTTTTTATTTTTTAATTGAGTACAGTGACATGGGCATTCATCCTTTATGGAAAAAATCCAATGTAAAGGTGCTTGGGTATAAAAAATGTTGTGAATATTTTATCCATTATTGTTTTATATTAATATCAAAAAAATTAGTAGTATAAAATTTCAAGCCAAAATATCAGCTACTTTTAAAATATTGTGAGAAAAATTCACCTAAAAATTTCAAGCCAAAATAAGAGCAGGATTCTCTCTCTCAACTATTCAACAACCCCATTGGCTCCTAGTCCACTGAATTGTCTCATTAGGTGACTCAAATTACCTCTCAACCGCTTCTTATTTTATTACGCAATATCAAAACATTTTCGGGAAATGAAATATGAAACAAAACTAGAATATAGTAGAAGTAATATGAATGCATGTTTCATAATCTAAGAGAAATCTTTAAGATATGCTCACCTCATCATTGATTTTTAGTCAATTTACGCCTATTGCTATTTCGGTTGAAATTTAAAGCTTATAAAACTCAATTTTGTTATGGTCTGCTTACACAAGAATGTTTTCAACTTATCCGAAGTCGAACATAATGCATGAATTAAAAAGCTTAACTTAGTACTACCTAAAAACAATTAAGCAATCTTTATGAATACAATAATAATTTTCTGATGCATTAGAAGCAAATCTATACTTATACAAAAAATAGCACATACCAAGGCAACCACATCCCTTGCAACCAGTGCTACAATATCTGCACAAGAGACAATCCCAGGGCAAGTTTCTTCTAATTTTTCCTTAATTCGATCGAACACTCCGTAGCCTCTAATGCTTAAATTTGGAGCCGCAACTTTCTCTGTAACGTTATTTGATGTAGGATTCAACAGTATTGAAGCATCACATCCCTGAAATTTTTTTCACTTAAATTCTCGTACTCGATAAGATAATGCAAAACCATGAAGCAAAAATTAAAATAAATGAATAATCAATTCAAGATAATTTTGAATGCATGTCGTACAAAATAAAAAATAAAAAATCCCTGATGCAATATATATTTTCGAACTGCAGTGTTTACCTTAACGAAGCAGTCATGGTAATGCATCCTCAGCAAAGGACCAGCGAGGCTTGGAGCTACAGAAAGGATGTCCACCATTTCATTATAAACAACATATTCAGCATTAGGGCAGACAAATTTGTAAAAGCCAAACATTATTTGTGCATTGCTCAAGCTTAACAGAAGGACCGCAGTAACAAAGGAGAGCAACGACATGAAGGATAACATTTTACAGAGCGATTTAGTTATGTGATAACTTACTGCGTACGATGTTGTTATATATATAATGCTACGAGTTATTGGCTTGCCTGTGATAGCATCCATGGGAGACTGCTCTAAAGATGGAATAAATTCCGAAAGATAAGATTTTTTAGAAATCATTTATTCATTAAAGCAGTCATAGCGAACATGCTCATTGAGAGTTGACTTGAAATTTATTTATTTATTTACATAGCCACAAAGCATGCCGAGTCCATGCAAGCAGCTGTACGTGCTTCTAGGGAATTGCTCCAAGTTATAAACATTCCTTATTAGCATTTGTCAACCATAGGGCTGACAAGTTTGTTGATTTTGAGGGTGAAATGGATAATAAATTTTTGTTTTTATTGCTTTTGGCGAGTACTCGGATTCAGCAATTTAGAATTTATGAAAATTTTCATTTTATTTTCAAACAATAAATTCGCTCATTCATTACATTTTTTGTTTTTTTATGGGGGCTGACAAGTTTGTTGATTTTGAGGGTGAAATGGATAATAAATTTTTGTTTTTATTGCTTTTGGCGAGTACTCGGATTCAGCAATTTAGAATTTATGAAAGTTTTCATTTTATTATCAGACAATAAATTCGCTCATTCATTACATTTTTTTTTTATCCTGCAAAGATGATACCAAATTTTTTAGATTTTATTGGTCAATTAAGAATTAATTAATAAATATGAATTTTTTAAACTGTTACAAGAGGCATACACATTAATTCTTCTCTAAACTTTGGCTAAAAGTCGGATTCAAGCATGCACAAGTTGTCTATTTTCAGCAAAATAAATAATTAAATTGTAGTTGATCAAATAACTGTAAGAAAATTACTGGGTTCAACAAGTTCAGTTTTCTTAATTCGCACAGTAGAATTTAAAAAAAAGAAAATAAAAATGAAAATTAAAACAAAAAACATTCCTTAAATTGAAATATAGTTTAGAGCTTTTTAAAGCATGTCCGGGTAAATTATTTATGCTTGCATCAAAAAGTTCATTATGATTCATATGCCACCAATAAATTTTCATCATCCGGCACGAATCTCGAGGTAATATTTTGAGGAAAAAATATTCAAATGTTGATAAAAAGTCATCAATAGCTCTGATTTCAGCAAGGTTACAATCAAACTGACCGACTCGATGAGACAAACCTAATGATATCAAAGTTAGTCAAGTCCGAGTCAAATCAAGCCCAAATCAAGTGATTAAATCATTCTTGGAAGATTTCCGGACACATTTGAAAGATCAAACGAATGTCGAATTCAACGATTTCATAGTTGAATCGAGCGTTTCGACAAGACAAATCCAACGAGCCCAAGATTGCTCAATTCTGACATCGTTAAGGCACTCAAATGTCCATCAAACGTCATCCGATAGAGGGAAGCTCTTCGGACTGTCCGATCAAAATGATTCATATTCTTACAGTAATTGCACCTAGAACACTATAAATAAAGCCCCAATGCTCACATGAGGGGAGGAGACTTAAGAGAGAACTTTAGGCTTTGAGAAAGAGTTCAAGTCTAACATTATCTCTGTCATCGTCGATCTTCGTCGACCATCACCGACCGTCAACGACCACCGTCAGTCGTCGTCGACCACCAGCAAACATCGTCAACCACCGTCGACTGTCATCAACTGTCATCGACCACCGCTAATCAAACTTCATCAGTCGACGTTGTATCTTAAAAAATCTAGTAACCTTTTCCCGTGTGTAGATCAAAAGACCTATGTAATCATCAACTTATAGTGGATTTTATAACTAGCTAGGCCTCACGATTTTTTCCCTTTACAAGTTTTCCACATAAAAATTTCTAGTGTCATCACAGGTTGATTCATTTTAATCTAAGTGTGTGTTGAATCCTCGTGCAACGCTAAGATGATAATCCATTACTCTATCGCCGCAAATTTTCTAGCACGCATCAGTTTGGCGCTGTCTGTGTGAAAGTTTCAATCCCACAACTAAAGTACTTACGCAGTTTACTACATGGCCATTAGACACAATGTTCATGACAACGGAGCATCCTGCTCCAACACCCATCGTTCCAGAGAGCGGTCACGAAGCCAAGGGCAGCATGCTTCTTCATCAAGACGCTATCCTACAAACAAAGGTGTTTCGGGACCTTCAATAGAAAATTGAATGCGTAGAATGAAGGAGTCTCAACTAGAGATCCAACAGCTTATACGCGAGGCTCAACATCCACTGCCTACACTAATGGATGACATTCGTTTACCATTAATTACACGACGTACGAGAAACATACCTCTCGATGCTCCAACACCCATCGTTCCAGGGAGCAATCACAAAACCAAGGATGACATGCTTCTTCATCTTCCCGCCCTGAAAGACGCTATCCTACAAACAAAGGTGTTTCGGGACCTTCAATAGAAAATTGAATGCGTAGAATGAAGGAGTCTCAACTAGAGATCCAACAGCTTATACGCGAGGCTCAACATCCACTGCCTACACTAATGGATGACATTCGTTTACCATTAATTACACGACGTACGAGAAACATACCTCTCGAAGGAACTCGTACTGGCCCGCCTCCTCAAGAAGGAACACATCCTCTGTCAGGTCATGATGTTGAACTCCTGGATATCGCAAGTTCCACCATCCATCTCGTGCAGCTCACCAGACATCGCCACATCTTTCTACAGATCTCGTGCAGCTCACCTGACATCGCCACATCTTCCTACAGTTCCAGATAATGTCATTCGTAACAAACTATGACGCCTCGTATGGGACGAGCTCCCCCTCTATAAAAAGGATCGTTTCTATGCTCACCGTAACATCCATAAATCTTCTCCCTTAGCTGATGCAGTTCTCCAACACCTCATCCCAACAAGCTTCAAGCTTCTGAACATCAATACATATGAAGGGATAATCATTCCTTATGAGCATATTGATCATTATCGAACCATCATGCACATTCAGTGCGCCTCTGATGCACTTCTGTGTCAATTGTTCCTGACTACTCTTAAAGGACAAGCTCGAACCTAGTTCTACTCTCTTCCAAGAGGCACTGTAAACACCTTTAATGAGCTTGTCAAACTGTTCACGGATCAGTTCATCGCAAATCGATGGATCATCAAGGATTCATCTCATTTCTCTGAAATTCGTCAAAGTGAAGGAGAGTCGCTCAAGGACTACTTCTGCAGGTTTTCTGCTGAAGCCCGTCAGATTCTGAGGGTGGATCCGGAGTTACTAAAAGGAGTCTTCCTTGGGGGACTCCGCCCAGGACCTTTTTACTCACCATTGATGCGGGAGACAGTTCGTTCTTATGCTGACATTGTCCATCATATTGAGGCCCAAATTACTGCGGATGAGGTCATCAACGCACATAAAGAGCAATTTGAGAAATTTGGGGATAACACAAGAATAACACTATAGATAATAATCAATCTTCGCAATGAGGAAAGTCCGAACAACAGAGGAATCGCAACCTCCTTCCTCAACCTACAGGCCGACGAAGTGAGTATAGACCTAAGAAAGAATATACACAGCTCAACACATCACGTGTTAAGGTCTTAATGACTATCAAAGATGAGCAAACCATTAAGTGGCCACACCCTCTAAAACTAAACTCAGGAAATCAAGGACAATACAATCATTTTCATCAAAGTCATGGCCACTCCACTGAGGCATGTAAGCAGCTCAAGGAAGATATTAAAAGGCTAATTAAACATGGATATCTTGGTCGATTTCTACAAAACAAACCAGCTGGTACCGATAATGCTCCTACTGGGGGGGCAACATACATAAAGGCAGCAACATGGGAGTCACCCAGTCGTAGGCAAAATTCAAACAATTGTTGGAGGCTCATTGCTGACTGATCAAGTCCTTATCACAATACCCGGTGAACCAATGCAGAAAAAATTGTGCCTCGAGCCTATCACTTTTGATGATTCTGATTTGGAAGGAGTTTGAGTCCCCCACCAAGATCCTCTAGTTATTAGCGCAAGAATTAGCAAGCCATGCTATAACATAAATAGGATCCCGATCGACAATGAGAGCTATGTCGATGTCTTGTTCTATTCAACTTTCTTTAATTTGTGATTGACAAGGGAAATACATCAACCTGCATTCGGACCATTATATGGTTTTGATAATTGACCAGTGTGGGTTGAGTGAACAATAAATCTCCCTGTTGTCTTGGTAGATTTTCTTTAACAGATAACTCACTCAGTCCAGTTCATCATTGTCAAATCAGAATCGGTATATAATCCATGCAATCAATCTTTAGCATCATGACTTCTGTAACACACTTGAAGATCAAGTTTCCAACCCCAATAGGGATCGGCGTCGTGCGATGTGATCAACAGATAACACAATCATGCTACCTCAAACAAGCTCATTCACGCCTGTCAATGACACTTAGCATTGAGAACTTCAATCTTCGAGATGAAGATGTATCTCAACGGGCTTCTCCCGTGGAAGACTTGGTTCAAATCTCACTCTCTGATGAACATCCCTCGAGAATAATGCAGCTTGGTTCCCTACTCTCCGATGAGCAAAGGTCAGAGTATGTAGCTCTTCTCCAAAGGAACCAAGACATTTTTTCATGGACTCCGGCTGACATGCATGGGGTTGACCCATTAATAATCATGCAGTCTTTAAATGTAGACCCAAGCTTTAAGCCGGTCATCCAGAAGAAGCAAAATTTTGCCCCAAATCGCTTACAAGCTATTGTACAAGAAGTTAACAAGCATCTCGAAGCAAAGTTTATCCGGGAAGTGCACCACCCTACATGGCTAGCCAATGTCGTCATGGTGAAAAAAGCTAGTGGTTCATGAGGAATGTGTGTCAACTATACAGACCTCAATAAAGCATGTCCGAAAGATAACTTTCCCCTCCCACACATAGATCAACTTGTTGATGCCACTTCTGGACATCAGATGCTTAACTTTATGGATGTAAACTCAGGGTGCAATCAAATAAAGATGAACCCAATTGACGAGGAGGTCACCTCTTTTCAAACAG